TTAGCCACGATTTATAATCGTTAGCCACTGTTTACCATCGTTAGCCACTGTTTACCATCGTTAGCCACTGTTTACCATCGTTAGCCACTGTTTACCATCGTTAGCCACTGTTTACCATCGTTAGCCAGAGTTTACCATTGTTAACCAGAGTTTACCATTGTTAGCCAGAGTTTACCATTGTTAGCCAGAGTTTACCATTGTTAGCCAGAGTTTACCATCGTTAGTCAGAGTATACCAACATTAGCCACTGTTTACCATTGTTAGCCACTGTTTACCATCTTTAGCCAGAGTTTACCATCATTAGCCACTGTTTACCATCGTTAGCCACTGTTTACCATTGTTAGCCACTGTTTACCATCGTTAGCCAGAGTTTACCATCGTTAGTCAGAGTTTACCATCATTAGCAACGGTTTACCATCATTAGCAACGATTCATAATCGTTAGCCACGATTTACCATTGTTAGCCATTGTTTACCATCGTTGACCATTTGTGAAATTGTTTTGTATGTTAAGAGATTATTTTAAATAATATAATTTACAGTGTCATTTGGTTTTTGTCTTGTTTATGTTATGATCTTACCCATTTTTGACTAGTCTTATCTCCTGGCATGTTATCGGTTATTATTGGTTATCGGCCATTAGAAGGAGAAAGTTATCTGTTATCGGTATCGGTTCTTAAAATTAAGTTATTGTGTATCCCTACTAATYAACGTTAGCAAACACCAAGCTAGCTTTAAGTCCGCCTTTATTTACAGATACTGAGCTCAAACGTATTAACTGAGAGTTTTACCTATCAGGCAACTCTTGATGTTGATTTCAATGTTGAACCTTTTTAACTCCGTCTCTTCTCAGCACCTTTTACTTTCTGTATGAGTTTCTTTAAAAGGGGATGCAAATTAAAAACTGACAGAACTACAGACAACCATAGGCTCATCCACTGGTACCCATAGTTGCACACAAACATGTACTCAATATATAAATACACTCATACTTGTTTTACTACTTCTGTTGTCAAATCCTAAAGCTCTGGATTGGTCTTGTTTCTAAATGTTAAAACCTCTTTCTTTAGGTTCAGTCGGACATGTTGTTCATTGTTCATCAGAGCAGATCCTGGTGCCTTACTCAGCTCTGAACTCTGGTTCTGCAGGTTGTAAACAAGACAAAGCATTTATAGGAGGAAGGAATAAATGGAAACATGTTTTGAAACAAACCTCTGTGATAAATTTAGAAGCAGAACGGAGCCTCGTTGTGCTGCAGCAGCTGGATTCACTCAAACCACTGTGGGATGGAGGGAAAATACAAGATGTTTCACATCTAACTGGGACAAAACTCACAGCTGAACATCTAGCAGGAGTCCTGACCCGGTTCACACAGACCAGTATCCACCTGACCTGGTCCAGTAGACCCAGTTCCAGAGAACACGGACCACCAAACATCCAAACACAAGATTGATCTGTTTCACCCAGACGGGCCACAGGTTCAATCTGAGACTGAACAGGACCCAGGGGCGGTTCTAGGGGCGGGGCCACAAGGGCAATGACCCCTGCTGAAATTTGATTGGCCCCCTGAAGGGCCCCTGTCCTGTCACTCATCTGTCCTTTATTCAAGAGAGATGATGCTGGGTGCAGTTCCATGTCTGAACACTGGAGGTGCTAATGAGCCCAACATAAAAGTCCAGCATGAATCAAGCTGACAGAA